GTGACTGATTCAAGGAAACGTTCCTAGATTTAAAGACGAAGTACACATTTGGCAGCACTGCACATTAATGACACTGCCGCAATTTTTGCCATGGTCATGGGTGACTAGCCCTGTTCCTACATCTTAATCACATATAGATGGCACAAACATCAAAGTTGACCAGCATCATAGATATGAGCCGCTGCTGTTGACCAGCAGCTAGTGCCAAACTCTCTCTAACAGCAAGGACGCTGTCACCCTACAGTACATAAAACTCATTTTTCACCCAGTAATACAAAAGCATCCCAACAAATGAGGCTAATTCTTGGTATAGACGTCATCAAGTGTCAAGGAATATTTGTATTTGTATGCAGAAAATACTTATAATTACGCCAGTAGTGACTACCTCTATGTAGTTATGTAATAACCTTTTTGTGAACGACAGCTACGAATTCCGCAAAGTTTAAATTATAATAACATTGCCGCTAAATTTGCTATCGTACGTGTTGTGAGCATAAATGAATGGGCACACCGTTGTGTGATTTACACTTAGTGTGAAAATGTTATACGTTCATACCAACATTGAGTTGGCATTTGTGTAACATATTCTTTCGTGTGCGTACACCTTATATGTCTGTACATTTGTAATGATAAAATATCATTCGACTGGACAAAATTTACATTGCATTTTTGTAATTGAGAATACTCAAAAGTACCGATACGTCGGTAATTATGAAGACGATGGGATTACGTAAAGGAGATGCCCGTGGATCAAAAAGCTTTGATACCAGAGCAACCATGTGAAATTCTACCTCAGAAGCTCTCGGGTCCGCTTCTGGCTGGAGTGTACGAATTCAACATCTGAGTGTATTTGATTGCTGACTCTTGAAGTGAAAACTTCATCTACGCAAGGTGCACGGACCCTCAGACCAAAGTCATATCTTATTATTTCATGCTTATGTATTTGTAACGGGGTTATACGTACTGTGGGCTACATAAAACGGTGCAACTAAACCATTGTGTGATTACACCTTAACAAGAAGTCAGTACGTGGCTGGACTGCCAGTAGTTTACTCAGGGTTTACTATTTAATCAGGAAAAACCATAAATTTAGATATAGGCTGCAGCGAGCAAAACACTTGAGGAAGCGTACTTTAGGATACCGACCTTTCGTTCTTTACAAGAACCAAGTATGAGTTAGTGGGTCGCAATCCGCTCACTCCAAGAGTGATTATCGCCTTCTCAAGGCTAATCGGCTCTTCGGTTTGAATTCCAAACTGATTTTTCTTTATCTTTTTATCCTAATTCCAAAAGTTTAGATTTTCCTAAATACACCGAATATATACAGTAAAATCTAAATACATGCATGACTACTGGCTACCTAGCCCCGTACCGTATTTATGTTTGGGTGTGGTCACATCATGCACATCTCGTGTGAAACACACATACCTGTTATGAGGTTTCGTGTAACCCCGTTACACCCTCCCCCATTTAGATTGAGAACATTTACGGTTCCATTCAATTATTGCCTCAACGAGGCTCGCGTGTCGTTAGACACTGCAAGAAATTTGTTGGAGTTTAACAACTTCCTTGCTCAGCCCTGTGTCCACGACACGAAATTATCAAGTCTTGCTGGCTCTGACAGCGAGCACGGGCAGAGCCCAACTTCGTCCCCCGCACGCAGTGCGATGTCGG